TGTGTGTGTCACTAATTAAAAACTAAGCATGGATGGCAAATAAATATAGATTGTCTAGTCAATTTAGTTAATAGCACAACCTATCAAATGAGACCAAAAACCATTCAATTCAACCATAATTAGAGCGTACACAAAATTCTAGAGATATACACTATTTGCATTCATAAGTATGGAACATCAAGAAACAAGAATAGATTGTCCACCTATCTAGGAATTTAAAACAACTACACTACATCTAGGCTAGAGACGTGAAAATTAAACTAATTAAACTAAAGGTGTGGCACAATCCATCAAGAAACAAGTGTGAACCATCAAATAAATCACTAGAGTACTCAATTAAGCACTATGTTTTGACCATCACTAGATTAACAACATCAATACACATAGACATGTATTAATTCCATTAAATCTATAGAAAAGCACATGAATCATCCATTCTAACATACATAAACATATGGATAAAAATAAATGATCAATTGAAAGCATTAATCCATACACATCAAGTAGAAACCACAAGATATATATTTATTTAAGATCAAAACATCAATTACAACTTAAATCTCCAAAAATGTACAAAAGACTAGGTCTAGAAAGCAAACTTAGGGGCTATCTCTAGCCTCAAGTGAAGGATTTAGCCACTCATTGTAGTGGTCATGGAACCCTCAAAGGCTAGTTTGGAGATTGGCATTATCATCTTCACCATTACTTCCTTCTCAAAACCCTAGTTCTAGAGAAAAAAAAACTATGTAAAAATATCTACTCTATGAATAATCTAAGGTAAAATGATTGTATGTTCAATTAATTCATTACATTCCTCTTTTTGAGTAGCCTCCAAGTTAGAATAACAGACTATAATTGGAGAAAATTCGTAGCTATACAAATTAGGTAGAAATCGGCGCGCTCGGTAATGAGACAGCGCACTACCAGCAGACACTTCGATCGTCAAACACTTAGCTTCAATCGATCGAAGCTGACGTGGCTCGAAAATATCTTCCAGGCTTTATCCAATTAGCTGAGCTGGCACCGCCTTGCTTCGATTGATTGTAGACCTCTCGATCGATCGGGACTTCCCTTCGATCGATCGAAGTTCCCCTGGAGCATTTTTCTTGGCTTCTTTTCAACTTTGCTCTTTAGCTGCAAAATGAGGCTAAATGGCTCTTGTTAGCATGTTCGAACTTTATTCACTTGAAATAGGCAATGACACAAATAAGTATCTAAGACATGAAAGTAAGATAGATAAATGGACTATTATACCCTAACGTAGGTGCCAAAATGCGTCACATTTGGGCACTCATCAGAGATTGTTAGATACTTTTTAGTTTCCATTGAAGTTTCTTTCTTTGTGTAATTTTTATTGAAGCTGTCTAATGGTAACACTACAAGAAAAATGACTTTTTACCACGGTGGAAAAGACTTTTTACCACGATTTTGAACCGTGATGGAAACAGCCGTGGTAGTAAAGTAGAGACTTTCTACCACGGTTCGTGGTAAAAAGTCTATTTTCTACTACGGTTCCGTACCATAGTAGAAAGTTTATTTTCTACCAAGATTCCCCACCGTGGTAGAAAGTCTATTTTATTAGAAAGTAATAGACTTTCTACCACGGTGCATAACTGTGGTAGAAAGTGTTATAAAATTTTTAAAATAAAAAAAATAGTGTAGCCCTTTGAAACTTTTCTTTTTTTCCCCCCTACTACTAGCCTTGCAAGGACCCCATAAGCAAACCCTAAATAAATAACTAAAAAATAGTATCATAACCAAAATAATTTACAACTGACCAATAACATCATATATATATATATATATATATATATATATACATATATATATATATAGCTAATTCCAAATCATTGTTTTATACAAAAATTAGCCATATACAAATTTCAAATAAGTACATAATCCACACCTTATATATTTACTTAACCAAAATAAAACAAAAATTCTTCATATCTTCTTGCAACTTCTTCATGAGCCATACAAAAAATATAGCGGCAACAAAAAAGGTAACGGCAACCGCAACCCGCAATCCTAGCTTTGACCTACAAAGATGTAATAGTTGAAGAACGAGAATTAATGTAAAACAAGTTGTAAAATTGTCAAAATTAAACCAAGAAAAGCAAACATTATAATAAAGGTACATTGAAAGATTTAGTCTTCATATTAATTCAAGCAAAACAAGTATTAACATGGTCTTAACTCAAGCAAAGCAAGTTCAGCGTGTCAAGGAAATAATCCCAGGATTAAAGCTTAAGCATAGCTTATTTAATAGGTGATTGAAAGTACACAACCCTCCCAAATTGCTCACGAGAAGAGGGGGGGGGGGGGGGGGGGGGATTTGACTTTCTTTTTGACTTTTCTTAGGACTAAAACCTGACTAGGAGAACTCAAACCACCCTACAGATGACTTTACTGCAGTGTTATGACAGCAATGGCCAGTAGAGTTGCCACATCTTATTCAAAATCTGGTAAAGAGAGGCTATAATACATGTCTCTTTGCATTCTTCTAAATTATTTTGCATTATTAAATATAATCTCTCTGTTGCATCCTTCTAAATCATTTTACATAATTAAAACACAATTTCTCTTTATGCCCTTCCAATCATTTTTCACAAGTAATACGCAAGCTTGCACATGGCACTTGTGTCTTCATTACTTACAATTTGACGATTAAAATACTTGGTATGGAAACGAATAAGAAGATTGTGAGTTTTAAATATAATTTATAGTGTTGGATCAATTTAAGCTTTCCTGCAATGACACTACAATTATTTACAGTCATTTCCGAAATATTACGTGCGCATATAGGAAATTCTACTTTCAATATACAAATTAACTACTTGAAGCCATTCTTCAATCTGGTGTTCTAATATGCCCTTGATAATTAAGCCCAAGTTGCCATTAACTGAGAACTAAGCTCACACAACAAATAATCAATATATTTTACACATCTTCCTTGCGTGACTAAGTTTGTGTGTGTGTGTGTGTGTGTGTGTGTGGACACAGAGAGAGAGAGAGAAGAGTGCTGGTTAGTATGAAATTTCAATTACTTAAATGAACTTGAGCTGGAAGACATTTACATGGTCCTTTCAGCTTTTAGGCAACAATATGGAAAAAGATCACATCAATCTATACTTATTGAAGAAATTAAGAGCTTTGAATCATTAATATTTGCAATTAATCCAATACCAGTGACTCGACTGTCCCATTTCACATTTTGTCGGAAAAGGTTAATTCTTATGTTCAAGATTATCAATTAATTTACTGCATCCTTAATAATCATATGTGTAATCAAAAGACTTATTGACTTTTTTTCTTCTTTTTTTTTAATGGTGAGTGAATGTCAACAAGACAGGTTTGGAACCGGGGAAGTGGCACTTCTTTCTCAAACTCTTTCAATCAATAATTTTTTTCTTTCTCAAACTCGATTTCAGGATAGCTCTTTAGCTATAGGGTTCTTAGTGTGTGCATTTATATGTATATTTTCTTAGATTGTGTTTGGGAACAGATGTTGCTGTTTTCGTAGACTGGAGTGAGAATCAAAGCTTTTCTAAGAAAGAAAAAAAATGAACATGTTCTTCCTACTATGAATTGAAACTATAAAGAAGGGGATTTCTGGATGATCAGTTCATCCAACTTCAACAGCTGCAAGATGAGAGCAACCCAGACTTTGTGGTTGGAGTGGTGGTAAATAAGAGACAATTCTTTTTATAAATCAAAATAGTTATGGTTCTTTATAGTTGAAGCACTTGCAGGCAATATTTTCTTCTACATCACTCCACAATTCTGACATATAAATATTAAGATTATATGAAGCCATGAGCCTAATGTCATCAACACCAAGGTCGTCCTGTTTTTTTTTTTTTTTTTTTTAATATTTTGCATACATTTGGTTGGTATATTGTTTATACAACAGCTTATCATCAATGAATTTTTCGTTTTGTGTCCCTTCTCAACAGCTAAGTTCTAGTCCTGAAGAGATGGCTGAGGTGGTTACGTTTATTTCCTCACTACTATTTTTGATACAGGTGAGGTACAATCACGGGGACTTAATAAGTTTGTCACAAAACCAATTTTCATTGAATTTTTGCCTTGTACTTACATACTGAAACACTAAATTTATTGTCACCTCATTGTTGCACTAAAACGTAGAATTGACATAGTTTTAAAGCTGAAAGAAGTGTCAACAAAATCTGCTTGTAAGACTAATCTATATTCCTCTGCTCTATAGTTGTTCGGAATGATGTTGAATCCTCTAAAATAGCCATTTTTTTCATCAGCCACTGCATTCACGAAATGGATGGCCATAACTGGGCTGGATGGACAGCTTAAGGGGTTTAGTTTTCTCATGAACAAGTAGACCGGCCTGCATCCCTAAAGACAGGAGAGGCAAGAAATAGCTCAAGGGAAATATTTTTTAATTACTTATGTGTATATATTAAATTCGTGTAAGAAAATTTCATGCAATTATGATTTTTTTTGGTGGATTATTTCATTTGATTAATCACTAAACACATACTTGGGGGAATTTTTTGTGTCTAAGCAGGTTAACACCAAGTAGTGGCCTTTGAGGAGGAACATTGATCATACAACACTACAAGTATTAGATAACCATATTGAACTCAATAAATATAGGCTAATCTTCAACTCTACAGCCGAAGAAACATGAACCTTCAGTAATAGTGGCAGCTAAAAGCTAGCTACTTAACTTAAAAAAGGACCAGTACCTTCAACTTGGTACCCAATTCTTCCTTAGACTAGGCCAATTTTATCCTAATAAATCCACATACTTATGACTATAACATGAGGAATTCTGTGTAAGAGTGTTTTGGATTTCCATATTCAGACAAATTCTATCCTAAACAGCCTAGAAAGCCCATTCTAAAACATGTGGTACTAGAGAATACATATGTGACTATAGCACTCTTTTTTCAAGGTAAGTAATCCACCCCATTTTTTCTTACATCAATCATATGCATATAATATGAATAACAACTAATACATAAAAAAAATTTAAGTTGCCAACTTGCATTAACTCCTTAAACAACATATCAACAACTTCTCCTCCACAACAATCAATCAAAACCTCCACATGCGATGATTTCATACTCCCATACTTTCAACATTTTAAAACAAGAAATAAAAATGGCCTCCACACGGGCCAATGTACCAATAAGGTAATAAAGTTCAAGATACACCACAAAATTGGTCATTTAAAGGCATGTGACCCCCCTGAGTATGAGTATAAAAAGCATTAAAAATGTGCAATCATAAAAGAATTTTATCAAACATAAAGACCATATAACTTTCAAATTTTGATGTATTTGATAGGCCATGCAATCGATGCTCCCGTTGTTGTCTTTTCCCAGCCCCTTTGGAAGACTACATTTTAAGTACATGCAAATCAATTAAAGAAAATATAACACCAAAATACACCCTAAGTGGAGATAGTTAAATGAAAAAACTCAAAAATAAGGGACATTATAAACAAATACACACAAAATGAAGATCATAAAACATCATTAAAACATCTTTGCATGATCATGTGAGAAGTCCACAGAGAATCCATGGAATGAGAAGCCCTTTCAACACCACTAGTTTGGATTGAATTGTAATTGGGAAAGCTTTGAGCTGAAAGAGTTTCAACACCACTGGGGTGTATCATATTTTAATGAATAATTATGCTTTGCGGCTTAGTGTTTTACACTTTTTAGTTTTTACACTACTAATCATCTAATTTTTGTTTTTATATCCGTGAAATAAGGGAAAGGGATAGGCCTCCATCAGGAAAGAGATATATATATATTTGCTTATAAATATATGAACAGAACACTATATGAGCAGACCACTTTTTTATTGGGCACTGGGATTACATCGATCTATCTTGTTATCAGCTGAAATGGGATTACACAAGTGAAAAAAAAAAAAAAAAAAAAAAAAAAAATTGAGATAACACTAGTAACCAAAAGCAAGATTCTAAACAAAAAAAAAAAAAAATGGGATAACACTAGTAAACCAAGATTATTGCTCCTTTTTATGTTTTTTTTTTTTTTTTATACTTTTTTAATTGATTGGACTATTTGGAGCACCAAAAATCAGAAGGAAGCCTAAAAATCTGTTTAAAACAGTTTTTCCCACAAAAGCGTACTTCCCTTCGAAAATTCATAAAAAAATAAATTCTCAAACAATTTGCATGAAACCAAAAGTCCATTGGAAGCTTAAACACTATATTTTTCTTCTATCAATTTAAATCAATAAATTTTCTTACCGATTAAATCAGGTTTGAAGGAAAAGATACGAAAAATTCTTTTCACAAAACAGTTTTGACAGCATATTAACATCAACTTCGAAAATCCATAGTAATTTTAAAATTCAATCAATTTGAGCCAAAAAAAAAAAGGCCTGTAAACTCATTAATAATTGTACTATCATATCCAAAATTTAATTTAAAAGATAACAGTTCGAAGTATAGATATTTCAGTTCTAAAATCAATATGTTTGGTTCCATTTTCCAACACAACTCTTCATTTAAATTCTAACAATTCTTCAACTAATTGAATTAAGAGAATGTAAAGCAAGTTGTAAAGTTGCCAAAATTAAACCAAGCAAAGCAAGCATTATAATAAAGGTACATTGAAAAATGAATCAGAAAATAGAAGTGATTGTGGATTAAATATTCTACCTTCGAGTGTCATGGTGTTGTTCTGCTCCCAAGTTCCTAACAAACTGCTGGTAATGGATCCTGTTAGAAAAAATATTTCAAAAATGTAATGCCAACAACTACAAAATATTCACATTGTATGTTAATAATGACTGCTTTCCCAAAAAAAAAAAAAAGAGAGAGAGAGAAAAAAAAAGGTAGAGAATGACCAAGGCTTAGAAGAAGAAGAAAAAATTAATATCTCTAATGATAGAAGAAGAAGAAGAAGAAGAAGAAGAAAAAATTAAAACAAATGTATTTTTTGGTAATTCAATTAATCTTAAATACCTACTTCTACAACACAATTAAGACTATAAACTTTTTCTCATATTACATACTAGAATCCTTCAATCACATGAAATCATTTAAACCTAGGATCCTATATGCCTCTGATTCTGATCATATATGCTTTAAAAATTTTGCTTGTTAATTTTGTTAAAAGACAAAGTAGTATTACAATAGTAATCTTGAGAATCCATAATAAAGAATTCTTTAAAATAGTCATCAAACTATTAGTTTGCAAGGTTCCCTGAAGCCAACAAGCTGGCTATATTGGTCACTCATAATTTCTAATATTAGGCATTCAATTGCCTTTGAAGTTTGAACCTTTCATCAAGTTTTAAAATGCTAACATGTGATAAGTCAAAACTCTTCAAATTATTCAAATTTGTATGCTCCCTTACTAAGACTTTGAGCATCGTTTTATTATTTGCTTACAAAGATGCAGATTTGGAAGCAAATTAATTGATATTTTTCATTATAGTTCACATAACAAATCCTTTATGTCTCACCCTATATATACCAAATCTAGTTTAAGTTAGCATTAATAAAGTAATGGATATCTAACATGCAAACAGAATTGAACTACATCAGAGTTAATTCAAGTTATCATTAATAAAGCTACCATTGAAATAAATTTAGTTACGAGTGAAAACATAAAAAATAAAAAATAAAAAAAACAAATATAGTTTTTCAGTTCAAGCAGTTGCCAATAATGTATAACATATAAACTTCATTCTACAAGACATAGAATAAATTGGGTACCAATTTAATATTAATAATAACTGCAAAATGTTCAATCTCGTGTACAAAAGTATATTTTTCAGTTGAAGCTTGCAAAGAGTTGAGAGACAGCGGACCAGAGGCTGAAGCTTAGGAACGGCTAACCCGAACTAGAACAGCGGGTGAAGGAAGCTGAAGGATATGGATTTTGATATTTTTAACAATATAAAATGATATGCCGATATGGGTTCTGATTCTTGTAGATTTTGTAGTTTGCAGTTGCAGAGACAGAGAGAGGGCAAGTTCAGAGTTGAGAACTAGAGATGGAGGCGATTTCAAGTTTCCACTGTAAACAGAGTATCATTTTCCATTTGTTTGCCAGGAAACATGAGAAGGGGAAACAGAAAGTACAAATCAATTTTTAAATCTTATGCCTTTTATTATTTTAGGATGTTAGAAAAACGAAAAGCCTCGTTTAATAAACCTCGAATTACCAAATATACATACTTGGGTACCAAATGAATGAAACCCTAAAATGCGAATTTTCAATTCATTTTCTTTTCCACATTTTCCTAGCAACCAAACGAGCAATAACATTCAAGAATAAAAGAGAAACAGCATTCAAAGATTAGACAAGTCACTAGTCTTACCTTCACGCTTATCCTCATGTGAAAAGAACTTTTCAATCTCTTCATCGACACTACGCCACAACTCCCGCTTATGGGTGGCCGATGTGGATTCGGTGGTGCGACCTCGCCGGAGACGCTTGAGGGTTTGCGGTGGATCTGGAATTTGTGGGTCCGGACCCATTGTGGGTGATTCAAAATCATCATCGTCGTCGTTATTCATAATCATATTTGATATGCCGATATGGGTTCTGATTCTTGTAGATTTTGTACTTTGCAGTTGTAGAGACAGAGAGAGGGCCGAGTTGAGAACGAGAATAGAGATGGAGGTGATTGGGGAGGCTGAAATGATTTGCCCTAAAATATTGTATGAGTGTGGATTGTAAGTGTAAGGGTGTGTTTGGATAGTATTAGTTATGAGAGAAAAGAAAAGAAAAGAAAGGATAGTATTAGTGAGAAAAGAAAAGAAAAGAAAAGAAAGGATAGTAATAATTTCTATTTGTGTTTGGATAGACAGGGGAGAAAAGAAAAGAAGTGATAGTTATTTTTGTTTGGATAAGATAGAGAAGAGAAAAGAAAAGAAAGGATAATAGACAAATTACTTTTTTACCCTTTCATAACCATGGGACTTGGATGGAATAATAAATCTGTGTATTGATTTGTGGAGGCTAATTTTGGTATTATCAAAATACCACTAAAATCACTATCCTTTCTCTCACTATCTCTCCCTATCTTCTCAATTTTGAGGAGAAAGCAAATAAGAGATAAGGAGGGATAGCTATCCCTCCCTATCTCTCCTTATCCCTCCCTATCCCTCCACTTAAGTTACCCAAACACAAACTTACACTATCCTCTCTTTTCTTTTCTCTCCCTATCCCTCCAAATCAACCCTACCAAACACACCCTAAGTAAATATATTTTTGTATATAAAATATATATTTTTAAATTTTTTTTAAGAAACTAGCGAGAATAAGACACGCGTATAGGCGAGTGAAATTAAATTCACTTTTTACCACGGTGCCTACACCATGGTAGAAATTTATTCTACCATGGTTTTCTATTAACCGTGGTAGAAAGAGTGGTGGAAACAGCAAGAATGAAATAAATTCACTTTTACTGTAGTTTAAAAATAACCATGGTTGAAAGACCACCTAAATTACATTAAAAATAATTCACTTTCTACCACGGTTATAAAATAACCGTGGTAGAAAGACCTGTCTAAATTACATTAAAAATAATTCACTTTCTACCACGACTATTTTATAACCGTGGTAAACGAATATACTTACTACCACGGTTATTTAAAAACCGTGGTAAAATAATATACTTTCTACTACGGTTTAAAAATAACCATGGTAGAAAGACCTGCCTAAATTACATTAAAAATAATTCACTTTCTACCACGGTTATAAAAATAACCATGGTAAAAGAATATACTTTTCTACCGCGGTTTTAAATAATTGTGGTAGAAAGGGTCTTCTTCTACCACGGTTTTTTTTTAAACTGTGGTAAAAAAAACGTGGTAAAAAACTGTTTTTCTTGTAGTGTAAGTAGAGTCGAATCACACATTCAAGTGAGCCTTTATTTTGGAAAATGAGATTTAAAAAATATTGATTTTTGAGTTTGTCACAAATGATTAAAATAAAATTACAATTACAAAACCATTAAATAGGTAAGCGAGAATCAACAATAAAAGATAGCATGTAAATTAAACTAACTTGCATTAAATGAAAAGAAAAACTTTAAGAAAACATCTTGCATTAAATGAGAAAAGCTTCAATAAAAATTACACAAAGAAAGAAATTTTAATGCAAACTAAAAACTATCTAACAATCTCTTCTCTCCTTTTCTCTGCCTCCGAAGTAACCCATTTGTTGGCTCTGATGATGACTTTGCCGAAATTTCTTCTTGATTTCCTTACGGCACCTCTATGCAACTCTCATTGTTGACTTTCCTTCCTTACCCACTTTCTGACTTCTTCTTATCCTCATTTCTTTACTTTTTTCTTTTTTCTCTCTCCTCATTTCTCATTCTTCCTACCTTCTGAATTTTCTTTTCCTTATTTTCCATTTTTGTTTCTTTTCTTCTCATTCATGCATTAACACCTACAAAACATAAAACAAGCATATAAGAATATTTAAATAATAGAAAAATCTAATTAAAAGATTATTTTGGTGCATGAAATAATTGGTTTTGTATACTTATCACATTTTCACCCTTCAGTAGGGCAGCGAACTCCATCTCACCAGACCCAGCAGATGGCTTGTCATACTCCCCAGTGACTTGGAGCCCTTGCTCTGCGTTATGCTCATCAGCGTCACTATACTCCCTCTCTTCCGAAGGAAGCTGGCTTGGGTAAAGCCAAGTCTAAATCCCTTGGCATAGCGAAGGTTGGCGATTTGGGAGAAATGAGAAAACATCTCCAAACCTTCCATCTTTGCTGGCCTGGATCACGAAATTTGCCTTCCCAAGTTGTAAGCTCAACTGCTTTATGCTCTAGCTCTCTGGCCCTCTTGCCAAAGTACTCGACTGACTTTTGTCACTCTGCACTCTTTTTCTTTGCATTCTTAAGGGAGGCCTCCAAAGACTCTACCCATTTTTGAAAGGTAACAGACTGGTTCGTATGAAGAGAGTCAGCCGAGAGCATTTTCATGAGAGTGAACATCAAAAAAGAGCTCTGCAAAGGGCAGAGGAAAAAGATTCAAATAATTACCTCCATAATATACTGGGGAGCGAGAGAAAGAAGATCATCAATACTCATGTGCTGTTGAAGGATCTCGTCTCTAGGGGCCATATTCCTCTAGCTAAACCCATCAAAACTTCTGGATCCTCGGCTCCAGAATCGCCGAGAGTAATAGAGGAACCATCGGCCTTTAGTATCTCGGGAAACCACCTTTCAGTGGATCCCGCAAAGTCATTGTTAGTGGTACCATCGGAAGTAGTGACTAAAGCACCTTCGCCCTTGAGAACCCAGCCATGAGCTTAGGGCATTTTGAAGGAGGAACATCCTTCGCCAAAGGAAGTTTAGGCGCCAGCCCAGAAGAAACCCCCTTCTGTTTCTAAGGTGTGGGGGTCTTATTCGCCTCAGTAAGAATGTTCTTCTTCTCCTTCAGCATCTTAGCAGTCGTCTCCCTTTCCTTTTTTTATACGAGCCCTGGGAGGAGGAAGTTTTATAGCTGATTGAGAAAGGGAAAGAGGAACAGGGGATGCAGAATCAGCTTCAATATTATAAGCATCAAAATCAAGGAAGGATCCCAGGAGATCGCCTCACGAAGGGAAGAAGAGAGTAAGAATCGAGCAGAAGAGACGTTACTCTAGACGTTCAACTGCAAGTACTCAAAACGGATGTCTGCAAATTTAGAAGGGAAAAAATCAGTCTTATGACCCAAGAAGTTAAAAATATAGCATAAATGTTTAACCATACAAACAAAGCAAGACCAAATCATCAAATGCAGGGATAGAATGAGTATGAAAGCTCGCCTCAAATCATCAACTGCAAGTACTCAAAACGGATCCCTGAAGATCGCCTCAAGAAGGGAAAAAGAGAGTAGGAACCGAGCGGAAGAGACGTTACTTCAGACGTTCAACTGCAAGTACTCAAAACGGATGTCTGCAAATTTAGAAGGGAAAAAATCAGTCTTATGACCCAAGAAGTCAAAAATATAATAGAAATACTTAACCACACAAACAAAGCAAGATAACTCGCCCAAATCATCAAACGCATGGATAGAATGAGTATGAAGCTCGTCCGAACAGGAAAATCCTAAGCAGAAGAGGAACGCCAAACCCCTCCTACCTTAACAATCCTGTCTTTCCACTCTTTGTCAAAGGTGCTAAGACCAGAAAAAAGAAATCTACCCGTCCTAGAATGGAAGTGGTACATACCCTCCTCACCTTTTATTCTATTTAATGTATAGCAGAAGAGGAGATCAACAAAATTTAAGGTCAGCCCACGAACCCTATTTAAAGCCAGGAGGCAAGAAGGGATGAGGAAAAAATTAGGGTTGACCTGAAGAGAGGCTAGATTCAATACAGACAGAACTCGAAGGTAGAAAGGATTTGGGGAAAATCTAAAGGTAGGTAAGTGTAAGGCAGAAAAAGAACATCTCACCCTCACTTAAACCCTTGTCGATGCTAAAATTCAAATCGTGATGGTACTCCTCTGAAAGTAACATAAGAGGGAACATGATTTTTCTTTATCAATTGCGCAGCAGAGAGTGATTTCCTTTCCATAATATCCGAGGGGAGGACTATTGGGCCCTTAACGTGACTCAGGGTACTTACACGAATCGCCGGTGTCCCCGATTAAGAATCAGATGCCTGAGCATTATAAGTTCGCTCACTGCTCTCTTAGCTCATGATGAGAGAACGAAATAAGAGAACAAGATAGTAGAAAAGGGTGACTAACCTTGACAATGGAGAGAAAACTGGAGTAATAGCAGGCATATTCGCTCTCTAAACCAAGAAATTTTCACGAGTACAGGCAACCAAAGTAGCAAGAGTTCAATATATAGAAGTAACAAGGTGGATAACAAAGGGGCAACAACATGAGACCCCAAAAATTGAAAACCCAAGTGACAATGATGAGCAGTAACAACCGCAAAAACTCCTTCACTTCCTAAAACAGTTACAATTCCATATATGAATTTGATTCATAAAAGGAATTGGGGACAAAGTGTGGAGGGAAATTTTCCCACCAATCATAACATACCACGGGTCCGTAAAATAAGAATAGCCCATCATTAGAATAACCAATCAGAAGCCTAGTACAATTAAAAAGCCTACCAAGAAAGGTACCACAAACATTGAAGTCAGCCGAAGGGGAGGAACACAACCCAGAATTTGGCCCAGTACCAGTGCATTTAACTATCCATAACGCCTGTTATAAAGGAAATCGTATGAAATAATGGACCATGAATAGCCCATCATTAGAATAACCAGTCAAGAGCCCAATATAGTTAAAAATCCCACCATAAAAGGCACCACAAACATTGAAGTCAGCCCAAGGGGAGGAATACAGCCCAGAATATGGCCCAGTACAAGTGCATTCAACTATCAATAACGCCTGTCATAAAGGAAATCGTATGAAATGAGGGACCATGAATGCCCACGTCCAAAACCGCCAATAACGGGCCCAAGAAAAACTCTGTATGAACATATAAATAAGAGATCAATGATAAGAGGAAAATGGGCGATTTCAATTATTTGATTTTTCCTCTGTCAAACTCGTTTCAATTCAGTCATACTTTCTTTATTACAATTCTTGTATTTTTCTTATATGTTCTGGTGTTAAAATTCTACACCTACAATATGAATGACTTATAATCTATTTAAGTTTCCTACATCATGTATCTCACATAAACTGAATCCTAAACATGCTG